ACATAACAGAAAATACTGTAGATAATCTATGAAACAATCAAAAAGAAATTGAAAAAATCAGATTAATAAAATGTAAGGCCAATACATTAGATCTCGAGTTAAATGGATTGAGGAAGGAGAAAAACCGACAAAATATTTTGCAAGTTTAGAGTCTAGAAATTATATCAGTAAACAAATTCCTAAAATTATTAAAGAAGATGGGTGTACGATATCCAATCAAGAGGACATTTTAAATGAAACAAAGATAATTTATGAAAATTTATACAAAACAAGAGAAAATGTAAAAACAGATGATAGCATTTACAATAGACTAAAAGATTATGATATACCAAGACTAAGTGTGAGGAAATCAGCAAGTTTAGAGGAACCAATAACTAAAGATGAAGTTTTATATTTCTTAAAAAACATGAAAAATGATAAAAGTCAAGGACCAGATGGATTTACTTGCGAGTGTTTTAAGTTCTTTTGGAAAGATATTGGTATATTTGTGACAAGGTCAATAAATAGTGCAAATGAATCAATGCAATTTTCAGATGTAAATAGATTAGGAATAATAACTTGTATACCAAAGGCAGGAAAACCAAAAGAATTTTAAAAAAAAATGGCGCCCCATTAGCCTTTTAAATGTTATATATAAATTAGCATCTGGGTGTATAGCTGAACGAATAAAAAAAGTTTTAAATAAATGAATACATGCAGATCAAACTGGATTTTTAAAAGGAAGATATATTGGAGAAAATATCAGATTGATTTATGACATAATGGATTATACAGAATGCAACCAAATACCAGGACTTTTAATGCTTATAGACTTTGAAAAGGCTTTTGATACTACATCGTGGAATTTTATTTATGAAACACTTGATTTTTTTCAATTTTGGAACATCAATTAAAAGCTGGATAAAGACTTTTTACAGCAATATAAAGCCCTGTGTCATACATAATGGGTTTATCTCTAATTATATATATCCAGAAAGGGGATGTAGACAGGGGGATCCTATATCTCCATACCTCTTCCTATTGTGTGCTAAAATTTTGGGCATTTTAATTCGCAAAAATGAAGATATAAAAGGTATAACAATAGATGGAGAAGAGTATAAGATTTCTCAGTATGCAGACGACACATCACTTATTTCTGATGGATCGCCTGAATCTATGGATGGAATCCTCAGAGAGAATTAGACTACTTTGCAAATTTATCAGGGCTCAAAATAAATATTCAAAAAACGAAAATGATATGCATTGGTAGTAAAAAATTTTCAAAAGATGTATATCATCATTCTAGGTGGAAGTTTGACTTGAATAGCACAACTCTTGATCTTTTAGGGATTAAGTTTTCTGTAAATTTAAAAGACATGATTAATCTTAATTATACATCAAAGTTAAGTGAAATTAAAAAGGTATTGAATCAGTGGAAACTAAGAAAATTACCCCCCATTGGTAGGTTAACTGTAATTAAGACATTGATTATCCCTAAATTAAATCACCTGATTCTTACTTTACCTAATCCACCATTAGAAATTATAAAAGTATTTGAGGATGAAATTTATTTTTTTCTTTGGGGAAGTAAAGTCCATAAAATAAAAAGAAATACTATAATTCAAGACTACAGAGATGGTGGCCTTAGAATTGTTGATTATTCAGAGTTTATAATAGCATTAAAATCAAGTTAGATAAGAATATTAATTCACTCTGATTCTAAGTGGGTAAAATTATTTCAATCACAATTAAACACAGATATTAAAAATCTTTGGTTAATGGGTACAGACTTTACTGCTAAATTATTTAAGAAAATAACAAACACTTTTTGGGTAGATGTCCTTAAAAGCTGGCTCAAAATATGCTTTGCAGAACAAGAGAAAAATAAAAAGATATTCCATGAACACATATCGTATAATCCAAAAATAATCATGGTTGGGTCTTCTGTTTTTCTTAAAAGCTACTTTAATGCTGGTTTTGTTTTTATAAGTTACTTGTTCAACTTAGATAATAATTTCTTAAGTTTAGACGCTTTTAAAGACCTTGGTGTAAAAGCAAATTTTGTTGAATTTTCTGGTTTGAAACAGGCTGTGTGTGATAGATTTGTTAGCAAAAACCAAATGAATATATTTCTTTCTTATGGTCCAAATTTACCCAGTTCTTTGAAGATGTTTTACATTAATATGAAAGGCTGTAAAGACATGTATGACATTCTTATTAAAAGAAAGAAAGAAACAAGTACTTCCATTTTAAAATGGAATGAAAAGGGATATCTATTCACCATGCAAGAATGGAGTAAAATTTTTGAACTCCCATTTAAAATTACACAAGAATCTAAACTGCAATGGCTACAATTTCAAATTTTACATAGAATAGTTCCTACAAATTTATATCTTTTTAAACTTAAGATAAAAGAATCTCCAGCATGCTGTTTCTGTAAGACTGACATTGAGTCAATTGAACATCTTTTTGTTGAATGTAATTTAGTAAAAGAGCTTTGGAGTGATATTGAAGAATGGTTTTCATGTAAGTTTAATATATCTGTAATTTTTGACAGAACAACGATATTATTTGGCAAACATAAGAATAAGGATGTCCATAAAGTGCAAAATTTGATGACCCTGATAATTAAGAATTATATTTTTTCGACTAAATATAAAAATCCTTCTGTTCTAAGTATAATGACTTTAAAAACAATTATTGTGGAAAGATTCTTGATTGAGAAATTTTTACTTTTGAAACACTGAAAATATACAGAGTATGAGAATAACTGGCAGAGCATCTGTGATATGATATGATTCATATGTACAAGTCTACATATACATATGTATTTAAGAATTTTTTCAAGAAACAAAATCTTAATCTTAACACACCCCCCTTAATGTAAAGAAAAAAACCAACACTATGCCCCCTATATTTCTTTTGTTTTTGATTTTCTCTTTTTAATGTTCTTTTCTCTCTCCCTCTTTCTTCTTCTCCTCCTTTATCTATCCTATATTCAAACAACTTTCACATGTGTTTAATTTAATGTGAACTTGTGGATGTCTTTCTGTAAATTTAATACTTGTATACTTGTCTATAATAGATACTTGAAGGAAGATATATTTGTGAACATACTTTTGTAGATACTTGTAAGATATAAAAGTGAAAATTAAATAAAATAAATAAATAAATAAAAAAAAACTATATGGAAAAATACCTGAACTGTCTGATGTCGACTTTGCTAACTACATAAAAAATAATTGGAAACGTTACCTAGACGACTGCTTCATATTTTGGACCAGGAGTGAAGAAGACTTAACTAAATTCCATTCACTTCTTAGTAACCTCCATGATTCCATACAATTTACGATAGAAAAAGTCGTACGAACTTCCATTTTTAGATCTTCTTATTATAAAGAATGGATCGTATATAACTACAAACTTGTACTGTTAACCTACGGACACGCACCAATATTTGGATTTTAGATTGTGCCACCCATCCCACACAAAACGTAATTTTCCGTTTAATTTAGCAGGAAGAATTTGTATAATTATTACAGATCAAAACCTACGATGTAGACGTTTGGAAGAATTCAAAATATATTTAAGACGACAAAATTATCCGATGGATCTAATAAACATTGGAATAGAAAAGGCATCCGAAATTCCAATAGAGGACCTGAGACATCCACGCCATATAGACGACACCAATAATGACGGGAAAATATAGCCTTTGTAGTTACCCATAATCCAAGGAACAGAAACATCCTTATGGACGCTAAAAGATTTTATCCCATTTTAGAACAATCGGAAACATGAAAAGTTTAGTTCAACCAAATGATATCATAAACAGTCGACGACAAGCACCAAATCTTAAAAAAAAAACGGGTGACCAAGGCCCGTTTTACTACACAGGAGGAAATTCCAACCATTAAAAAATGCGGAGATCCGAGATGCGGAACATGTAAATATTTAGAAGAGGGGAATACAATCCAACTTAAATCAGGAATGGAATTTCGAACCAACTCATCTATGAACTGTAAATCGCAAAACGTCATCTACTGTGCCATCTGTCTGACGTTTCAAGAATATTATATTGGAAAAACGGGAAAACTAAATGCCAGGGTTCGTGTGCACAAACAACAAATCAAAGACCCTAGTGTGCGTAATACACCGTGTTGTGAACATTTCGCAAAATGTGGCAAAGGAATATTTAAGATTTTCCCTTTTTATAAACTCCCAAATGAAAACGAAAATTTACTTTTAACACAATCCAAAACAAAAAGGGAAAATCAAAATTCCCTTTTTTTCACCCATGGTTTACAATCTGAAGTCATTTTGGTCTTAAAATCCTTATTTGTGTCTCAAAAAGTTCCTTTTTTGAAGATTTTTCTTAAGTATTTGAGGAACGTTCCTCTTTATACACTTCAGATGCATTTGTTATGACCAGAGATTTGAGGAACGTTCCTCTTTCTACACTTCTGGTGCATTTGTTATCACCAAACATTTGAGGAACGTTCCTCTCTCTCTCTCTCTCTGAACTTCAGATTCATTTAGTATGACCAGACATTTGAGGAACGTTCCTCTCTCTTAACTTCATATGCATTTGTTATGACCAGACATTTGAGGAACGTTCCTCTCTCTGAACTTCAGATGGATTTGTTATGACCAGACATTTGAGGAACATTCCTCTCGCTAAACTAAGATGAATTTATTATCACCAGACATTTGAGTAACGTTCCTCTCTTACATGTGCACACACAGCGTGTATTTTTAAATACTTTAAGAATCTTAACACATGAGACATTTGAGGAACGTTCCTCTCTCAAATTCACTTTTTCCGAAGACATCTCATGAATGGTCAAACATCAGGCATTAGAGGAACGTTCCTCGCTCGAATTTAATTATTACTGTAGGCACCTCAAGGATTGTCAAATATCAGGCATTTGAGGAACGTTCCTCTCACAAATGGTTGTCTCATGAATTGTCAAACATTAGGCATTTCAGGAACGTGTTCCTCACTAAAATCTAACATTGTTCACACAGGATACTTACACGTATGAGAAACGTTCCTCTCTTAGATTTGTATATGTTGATACCTTATTCATATTAAATCATGCATTTGAGGAACGTTCCTCTCACAAATGGTTGTATTTCTGTTGATTACTTATACCAAATGAAGCTTGCAACCAGTGCATTTGAGGAACGTTCCTCTGTCTTGTAATGAATATCTGTTGATACATTGCAAAGCCCACTTAAGAATATCTTTAAAGGAACGTTCCTCTCTAACATTATCATGTGTTTTGTGATATCATATTAGTTTTTATCGTTCATGAAGAATTTGGGAAAATTTCTCTCTTTTATATGAAATGCAGTAAATATTCATATTAGAAACATTTTTTATCTGTACACACTCTACAGAATATATATGAAAAATCATTTTGTCATTTTATAAAGTACTTTTTGAATTAAGGCTTTCTTAAAGTATACTATAAACTAGGTACAGGAACAAACAAATTTTTCCACTTCGGAACAAGCATGTACAATGTGCAGTGTTCATGTATCAACTCAAAGGGCTTTTTCACTGAATGGCAGTGTGATCACATATTACAATGTCTTGGTTAACAGGTTAATACCCACAGTATTTTTCCTTTCTACCACGAAATTAAACCAAAGTTGTGATGAAGGTCAACCATGTTTCTTTCTCGGTTACATCTTTCCCTCATAATAGAGACGATTCCAATTCTTTGGTCTCCAAAGGTTCATAGCATTTTTTCATCAGTCAAAGTAAAACAGCCTAAACAAGTTTCTTGGGTGTCATCTTCTGTAGGAAAAATCTCACATTCAGTACAGCGGCATGTCGTATTATCAAAAATGTGAATCAGGCAAAGTCAGAATAATCAAAACATAGTGTACATAATAACAAGTTTAGATGTATCATCTAAAAATTAAATAGACTGGAAAAATCGATATAAAAAAATTGCAAAACTTAAATTAAAATTTTGAACTTTAAATTGCCCATGAATTATGAAAGCATTTCCATACTGTATTAAGAATATTGCAAATTTGACACTTTCTATCTTTCTCATACTATTTTAATGAAATACTGTAAATGTTTTATATTTAGAGTGTACTATATTTGGCGGAACTTGATATTTTAATAAGTTAGTGTAGGTATCACTACTGAATTAAATATCCCCTTAGATTCCAAAAAATCCCCTGTTGTCCCCCTGTCAGTCCCTGACATTTTCCTGTCTCTCCCTGACTTTCTCCTATGATCCCCTGTCGTTGTCCCTGCTGTCCCTGTCCAGTCCCTGTCGTCCCCTGTCGTTGTCCCTGCCTTCCCTGTCTACTCCCTGTCGTCCCCTGACATTCTCTGATCTCCCTGTCCAGTCCCTGTCGTCCCCTGTCGTTGTCCCTGCCTTTCCTGTCTACTCCCTGTCGTCCCCTGACATTTATTTTGGCCAAGAAAAGGAGTTTAAAAAATATTTTTGTTGCATTTAAGAGTGAAAAATGGTATAGTCTTGAAAACTTTAAATTTTTTTTTGAAAATATAGACTTATTAAAAAGTTGACACATTTTAAATGCCTTAACAAAATCCCCTGTAATTTAGTTTCTATTACTTGTATCAATGTGATTATTTTTAGTTTGGTAGCATTTGGGGGAGAAGGGCAGAGAATTGCATCATTCTTAAGAAGAAATAAATTAGCAATTTATTTCATCTTGTGATGCTAGACAGCTTATACATTGTAGTTTATGGACCTTTTATATATATTTATAACTTTTTCATTTTCTATTTGATCTACTTTGAAACATCTTTGAGCGTAATAACTGTCTTTGTAAAAGAACTAGATTTAAACATTTGAGAATACATTATCAAATCCATGCATGGGATATTTGGTTTTACCAAAGAATTAAAAAAATAATTGAAATGAATGATATATGAATGCATTACTAAAATAAAAGTCTATTTTATAGATAAAGATTATTAAATAAACAAAATATATATTTTATTAATTTATTTTCTTACGTGAATAAATTTACAACTCGACTGAATTAAGAATGAATGAATAAATAGATAGATAGATAAATAAATAAATAAATAAATAAATAAATAAATAAATAAATAAATAAATTAATTAATTAATTAATAAAGTAATTAATTAATTAAATAAATAAATAAATAAATAATGAGAATTATATAAATTTATTCATTTATTTTTAATTTTTTTAATTTATCACTCATTTATATCCCCCAAAATTTGATTTATTAGTTTTATTTTATTTATTTGCTGAAAAATGCTACAAAGTATTTTATTAGCATATTTCAAAGCCTTTTTATTATTTTAAGTCCATGATGGATATCAAAATAATCGTCTCATAATGCACAATCTTAATCCGTCAATTAGATTTTTGATACTTTGTTTTGATTGAAAAAATTGGTTTTCAAAACCCTAACACGGTTCTGAAAGAACATCAAAGCCATTGATGTTTACCATTAATTAACTCGGGTACACAGTCATGACACCTATTGTCTTTTTCACTGACCGCTATACCTTGTTTATATTGTGACAGGACGACCGTGTGTAGTTTGCAGCTGTTTGAAATAACATTTTCTCTTTGTATGAGAACTTAATTTTTTTTCCAATCAAAACAAAATAAAAGTATCGAAGAAGCTATTGACGGGTAAAGATTGTGCATAATGAGACGATTATTTTGATATCCATCATGGTAGTAAAATAATTAAAAGCAGATTTAATATGCTTCAAGAATACTTTGACACACATTTTTGCGTAAATAGTTTTACATAAAATAAGCCCAAAAAAATCCCATTTTCGGGTATTTGATCATTTAGTTTGTTTGTATTGTCAATTTTCAAAATAAAAAAGATTGTTTTACCATAATTAAATACATGCAGTTAATATGTTTTTTCTTTTTTGTTCACTAACTATTTAAATTCAAATATTGTATTGATTTTAAAAAAATAATTATTCTAAAATGCACAAATACTTTCTGCTGTCTCTCTTTTTTCTTTCTTTTATTTTTTTTTTTATATTATTTCCTTTTTTTTTTTGAACAAATGGTACAAAGTCAAACCAATACTTAACGAATAAAACAGATTAAAACGAAATAAATTCATAGTAAATAAATAAAATAAAGTAAATGAATAATAATAAAAAAATATTAATAAAATATTAATCTATTTATTTTTGAAATTGAAAATAAAACAAATTAATGAATTACTTATATCTGCAAGAAATTGTGTATCTTTAGTTTTATTTTATATAAACACTTGCATCCGTAGATGATCTACAAAGTATTTTATTAGCGTATTAAAACGACCTTTTCTTATTTTAAATACATGATGGATATCAAAATAATCGTCTCATTATGCACAATATTAATCCGTCAATTAGATTTTTGATACTTTGTTTTGATTAAAAAAAGTCGGTTTTCAAACCCTAACACATTTCTAAACAACATCAAAGCCATTGATGTTTACCAGTAATTAACTCGGGGTACACAGTCATGACACCTATTATCTTTTCACTGACCGTTATACCTTGTTTATATTGTGGCAGGACGACCGTGTGTAGTTTGCAGCTGTTTGAAATAACATTTTCTCTTTGTATGAGAACTGATTTTTTCAATCAAAACAAAATAAAAGTATCAAAGAAACTATTGACGGGTAAAGATTGTGCGTAATGAGACAATTATTTTGATATCCATCATGGTAGTAAAATAATTAAAAGCAGATTTAATATGCTTCAAGAATACTTTGACACACATTTTTGCGTAAATAGTTTTACATAAAATAAGCCCCAAAAAAAACCATTTTCGGGTATTTGATCATTTAGTTTGTTTGTATTGTCAATTTTAAAAATAAAAAAAGATTATTTTATCATAATTAAATACATGCAGTTAATATGTTTATTTTCTTTTTTGTTTACTAACTATTTAAATTCAATTATTGTATTGATTTTTAAAAAAAATAATTATTCTAAAATGCACAAATACCCCTGTTGTCTCTCTCTTTTTTTTCTTTCTTTTATTTTTTTTTTATATTATTTCTTTTTTTGAAAAAAATTTTACAAAGTCAAACCAATACTTAACGAATAAAACAGATTAAAACGAAATAAATTCATAGTAAATAAATGAATTAAAGTAAATGAATAATGAAAAAAATATTAATAAATTATTAATCTATTTCCTTTTGAAATTGAAAATAAAACAAATTAATGAATTATTTATATTGATTTTTAAAAAAAATAATTATTCTAAAATGCACAAATACCCCTGTTGTCTCTCTCTTTTTTTTCTTTCTTTTATTTTTTTTTTATATTATTTCTTTTTTTGAAAAAAATTTTACAAAGTCAAACCAATACTTAACGAATAAAACAGATTAAAACGAAATAAATTCATAGTAAATAAATGAATTAAAGTAAATGAATAATGAAAAAAATATTAATAAATTATTAATCTATTTCCTTTTGAAATTGAAAATAAAACAAATTAATGAATTATTTATATCTGCAAGAAATTGTGTTTCTTTAGTTTTATTTTATATAAACACTTGCATCCGCAGATGATCTACAAAGTATTTTATTAGCGTATTAAAACGACTTTTTATTATTTTAAATACATGATGGATATCAAAATAATCGTCTCATTATGCACAATATTAATCCGTCAATTAGATTTTTGATACTTTGTTTTGATTAAAAAAATCGGTTTTCAAAACCCTAACAAATTTCTAAACAACATCAAAGCCATTGATGTTTACCAGTAATTAACTCGGGGTACACAGTCATGACACCTATTATCTTTTTCACTGACCGCTATACCTTGTTTATGTTTTGAGAGGACGACCGTGTATAGTTTGCAGCTGTTTGAAATAACATTTTCTGTTTGTATGAGAACTGATTTTTTCAATCAAAACAAAATAAAAGTATCAAAGAAACTATTGACGGGTAAAGATTGTGCATAATGAGACGATTATTTTGATATCCATCATGGAAGTAAAATAATTAAAAGTAGTTTAAATATGCTTCAAAATTACTTTGATACATATTCATTGTTACATGTAATCAGTTTACATAGAATATGCAAAACAAATCCCATTTTCGGGTATATGATTATTTTGTTTGCTTGTATCGTCAATTTAAAAAAAACAATGTTTTTATAATGATTAAATACATGCAGTTAATAAGTTTTTTTTATTTACCAATCAATTATTGTGTTGATTTAAAAAAAAACTAAAATATTCCAAAGTGTGCCAGTACCCCTGCTGTCTTTTTTCTTTTTTTTTATTTTTACAAAAGGTAGAAAGTCACTCCATTATTAAATGAATAAAACATGAATAAAATAAAACTCTAAACAAATACAATTTCTTGCGGATATAAATGATTGACTAATTTGTTGTATTTTCAATTTCAGATATAAATAGATAAATTGTTTTTATTTATATTTATTTCACTATTTTTTTTAAATTTTATTTATTTACTATGTATTTATTTCGCTGTAATCTGTTTTATTCATTGAATACTGGTTTGACTTTGTACCATTTGTAAGAAACAAAGTCAGCAGGGGGTATTGGTGCATTTTGGAATGTTTTAGTGTTTAAAACCAAATCATTAATTGATTTTAAATAGTTAGTAAATAAAAAAAAATAAACTTATTAACTGCATGTATTTAATCATTATAAAAACAATGTTTTTTTTAAAATTGACGATACAAGCAAACTGAATAATCATATACCCGAAAATGGGATTTGTTTCGCATATTCTATGTAAACTGATTAACAATGAATATATATCAAAGTATTTTTGAAGCATATTAAAACTGCTTTTAGTTATTTTACTTCCATGATGGACATCAAAATAATTGTCTCATTATGCACAATCTTTACCCGTCAATAGCTTCTTTAATACTTTTATTTTGTTTTGATTGAAAAAAAAAATTAAGTTCTCATACTAAGAGAAAATGTTATTTTAAACAGTTGCAAACTGTAAACAGTCACCCTGAACACAACATAAACAAGGTATAGCGGTCAGTGAGAAAGACAATAGGTGTCATGACTGTGTACCCCGAGTTAATTACTGGTAAACATCAATGACTTTGATGTTGTTTCAGAACTGTGTTAGGGTTTTGAAAACCGATTTTTTCAATCAAAACAAAGTATCAAAAATATTATTGACGGATTAATATTGTGCATAATGAGACGATTATTTTGATATCCATCATGGACTTAAAGTAATAAAGAGTCGATTTAATATACTAATAAAATACTTTGTAGCACATCAAAGTATGCAACAGTTTATGTAAAATAAATCCCCCCCCCAAAAAAAAAACAAAAAAAAAGAAAGAAAAGAAAAAAAAAAAAAAAAAAAAAAAAAAAAAAAAAAAAAACAAAAACCTCTAAAAACGCCACAATTTCTTGCGGATATAATTGATTGACTAATTTGTTGTATTTTCAGTTTCAAATATAAATAAGGTAAATAAAAAAAATAAAACTAATAAAACACATTTTGGGGATATAAATGTGCGATAAATTAAAAAATAAACAAAGAAATGAATAAATTTATATAATTCTCATTATTTATTTATTTATTTATTTATTCATTCATTCTTAACTCAGTTGATTTGTAGATTTATTCACATAAGAATATAAAAGAATAAAATAGATTTATAGTTTGTTTAATAATTGTTATTTATAATTAGGCATTTATTTTATTAATGCATTTATATATCATTCCTTTCAATTAATTTTTTTATTCATTTCATTCTTTGGAAAAACAATATATCCTATGCATGGATTTAATAATGTATTCTCAAATGTTTAAATCTAGTTTTTTTTTACAAAGACAGTTATTACGCTCAAAGATGTTTCAAAGTAGATCAAATAAAAAATGAAAAAGTTTATAAATATATATATAAAAGGTTCATAAAGCACACTGTATATGCCGTCTAGCATTACAAGATGAAATAAATTGCTAATTTATTTCTTCTTAAGAATGATGCAATTCTCTGCCCTTCTCCCCCGAAATGCTACCAAACTAAAAAAAATCACATTGATACAAGTAATAGAAACTAAATTACAGGGAATTTATTAAGGCATTTAAAAATGTGTTAACTTTTTAATAAGTCTATATTTTCAAAAAAAAAAACTCAAAGTTTCAAGACTATATCATTTTTCACTCTTAAATGCAACAAAATTATATTTTGAACTCCTTTTCTTGGCCAAAATAAATGTCAGGGGACTACAGGGGCAAGTCAGTAAAGGCAGGGACAACGACAGGGGACGACAGGGACTGGACAGGGAGATCAGAGAATGTCAGGGGACGACAGGGAGTAGACAGGGAAGGCAGGGACAACGACAGGGGACGACAGGGACTGGACAGGGAGAGCAGGGACAACGACAGGGGATCATAGGAGAAAGTCAGGGAGAGACAGGAAAATGTCAGGGACTGACAGGGGGACAACAGGGGATTTTTTGAAATCTAAGGGGATATTTAATTCAGTAGTGTATGATTTAGCGCATTTTAATGTTTTATGTTTAAGTCATTTAGTGTTGTACTTAAATTAGCGGATGTTTCTTTCCGCCAAAAAGGTAAAAAGAATACATCGCCAAATGTTACACGTTTACAGTAATAACTCTGATTTGCAAATTATGTCTGAGAAAAATCATTCTCCTTTATATCTTGCATGTAACACTAATTTAAAAACTAAGTGACAATTGGAAATGTAAATTATAATAATATATAGGTCTTAAGCTCCATACTCCTCCAATGAACATTTTATATACATGTATGATAATATAAGTCATCAATTTTTTTAAATTTATTTCTCTTTTTCCATAGTGCATGTAGGTCTCATATAATATTTCATGGGTTTTATTAATGTATTCTTTAATTTACACGAACCTATTTTCATTCTGAATCTCAATTTGTATTATATATTGCAGTACTATTGTGTATTTCTTAAAACTGAAGAATTGATTCTATAATAGGGATTTGTCTAGTTACCCTAATTCCTGCATCATTCTCTACTTTAAAGATAAAGACTTGATGTCTTTCTGGCCCCAGCTCACATTGTAATTGTTATTAATCACTGCCAATCATATATGCTCATGGAAAACTAGCTATAGGCGATCAGCTCTGGCAACTATCTGTCCCCTGTGACTTCATGGACAGTAAAGATCAGTGCTGATGCTATGATGACTTGATCGTGTTATAGATAAACATGTCTCTGCAGTCAGAAGATTGAAGCAATTTACATTGTAGAACAGAACTCAAACAGTGAGAGAATTAAGATCTTGTTAGAGTTTTAAATTTTACTCCTTAAAATTTGGATAGTTTCAATATATTTAAAAAACAAAAAAATGTAATGAAACTTATATACGCTGTAAAACTTTACTAATTATTCTAGTTCGGGAATAACAAATCTCAGGCTAAAATCTGGTTTGAACATATTAAATGCAAAGAAACATTATTTTGTAAAAAAAAAGATAATAATAATGTGAAAACATCATCTCCTGCACTTAATTGTCAGATCTTAAGGAAGCAGGAATAAGAATCCATATTTCCAAAAAAAAAGCCCTTAAAAAATGTTTTATTGATTTAGATTATAAGCACATGTATTAAAAGAAATTTTGTACTGAGTAATACAGTTCTACAATTTTTTATTTTTATTGATTGGCAATTGCTCATCTTCCTTCCCCCTTTTTAAAAGTTAGATACTTTGATTATGAAACTATCTCTGATTTAATTGTTGTTTTGAACATATTTGATTGAACGAGTCAAATGGATTGGAAACAAGTTCTTGCAACTTACAAGTTCCTCTCCATAAATATAACAATATGTCATGCAAAAAATACATTAAAATATAATAATTCTAATATTTTCAAGTGATGCAATTAAATTACAAATCAATTTAAAATCTACATGTTTCAGTAATAAATCTATGGACAGCAGAAAAAATATTAATATTAATTGATACAGGCAAATCTCTGTCACCCCGTAATAGTAAATTAGTGCCAATTGTTACCAATTTATTTAATTGTTAATTTCAGAAACATGCACTCTGAATTTCACAGATTTCCTATATCTTGGATTGCAGTGTGGGTCATTTGGGATTTAATAATTTAGCCAGCTGCAGCAAGGTCAAAAGTCTATGTTATCTGTAAAACTCGAGGTCAATTTATTTAACCCCGGTCTTATCTGCTTTCATTATGTAGAAATAATTTAAGAAGATTTTCTTCAACTCTTTGAAATTACATTCACCAACACTGGAACACTGAGTTTCTAAGAATAAGAATTTCATTGGTGTACATATCAGGCATGTGTTATAAAAATGAACCTTTCTTATGAAACTGAATAGTGCATTTTTACTCAGCTTTAACCTAATAAATAAATAAAACAAAATTACGGCTATATGCATAAAATGATGGAAGTATCAACTAGTGAAACCGTTACTCGTATTTTTAGTAATACTATTTTTCTTTTATCAGGAATCGGACACTGAGTACACAAGACATGATCTGCCGATCGATAATACATATAAAATGTTTAACTAATATACAATTTTTAAGATCTGAATTATAAATACTTATTTATACTTAGATAATGCATATACTTAAGTTATTGTTAAAGTATTAAACTACATGTAATCCTTAACAATAGGTGTATGTAGGAATATAAATAAGATGGCCCCTTTGGATTTTTTTTAGAATAAAATATATTTTTCAGTGGGATAGTGATGATTGACAACTAAAAGAAACTTCATATTCACTATTTTGGACTGCATTCCACTTTGATTAATATTAAATATCTGTTAAAACAATTAATGCAATACATAAAATGTGAGTTTGTGATAAATTATTTATTTTTTTTTTTAGAAAAGATAATATATAGAAGGACAAAAAAACCTTTGAGATAAAGGTTTTGTAATAATTGTGTACGTGTACTTAAGCTTTGATCATAATCCTTGCAGTTGACAACACAACAAAATATGCCCAGAATTTTTATAAAAATAGAAAAAAAATTTCCCGGTAAATTGTTTCAAAAAAGTGTTTAAATCTTTTATAATTAGTTTTTTTTTTAAATTTTATCCTTATTATTCTAACTGCAGCATATAGTTTAAAAGGATACAATATTGAGTATAATAATTTATTGAATTTGTGTCTTTTTTTCCATAATATTTCAAGATAACCAATTTATAGTAAAATTTTAACTTTTAACTTTAACTTAAAATTTTTAATTTTTTTAGCAGGGTATGATATCAGACAAGGTCACTATATTGCTAGGAAAGAAAAACACATGATTTTAATATATTACGTACTCCTGTTCATACACACAAGTAGAAGAGCTAACAATATCTTGGGAAAGAATAAACATTTGACCAGTGACCACTTAGTGAAGCCGACGAAGCGATAATTGTCTCAGAGTTAAAGATTTCAGCATTGGCTATACATAAACAAACTATACCGCTCTGTTTCATCTAAAGACATTAATTCTTTGACACACTAGATTATTCCTTTGAGCCTCGTTGAATGTGTTCTGCTCTGCTCTAAAACCATCAGAATTAACAGTGCTGAGCATCTATTCAAGCTCGGATGATTTTTGGATTGAACTAGGTGAAACACAGCTATTGTTCTCTCTATCAAATCAATTAATGTTTTATTTAAAAAAAGTAAATAAGACACTGACTTGGCATATAAAATATACCTGAGGTCTGTCCAAAACTTTAATTCAAAATAGAGTGTACATCTCCTATCAATAATGTATAGTTAATACATGGACATGTTAAATCATGCCAGTTTACAAATTAAAAATATACCCGGTAATACAAATTAAAAACACTACATAAATATGTATATTTTGCATATTTTTAGAAAGTATATAGGATACGTTCAGTGGCAAGGGGGGGGGGGGGGTAATTTTTTAAGGAGCAAATTCTCAATCAAAGTTTCCTGTGTTAGGAAGCCAAAAAAATTAGTATGGGCATGGACCCCACCCATCCCCACTCCCACCCCCCAAAAAATAAATAAATAAATTGAGATAAGTAAATGATGAATAATAAAAAAAAAAATTAACAAAATACAGTAAAACATGATTTTTGCCAACACACTTATGTTGAATTGAGTTACAGCGAAGTGCTTTTATTCCCTGTGACTTAATTATGTATTTTTATCTTCATAACGAATTTCGCTCATAATAATGCAAAATCAACCGTCGATCCCTGGCACTGCTTTTTAAACATGTTTTACTTGTATTCAATATAATTAATCTATTTCCTGCCATGTACAGCATTTGAAAACATATATTATATAGGAAATCATAGAATTTCTAATTTTCCCAACTAATAATGAAAATTATGACTACGGTACTTACTTGATTTGTTTACGACACTTTAATCATTTCTCTGAAATGTTGCTGCAAGTGGTGTCATGAGGGTATTCGTTTTCTTTTACATTGAAATCCAGGGCATATCATTTTGTCTAAAATTAAAGTAAATTTCTCATTTTAATTTACTGGTATTTGGAAGTGTCTGACAGCTTATATTTCAGCAGGATTGATCAACTCTGACTAAGTTATTGATAAAATATTTTAGTTTAGTTTTTATGAAAACAAAGCATACAAAGAATTTTCATAAATTGATAATAATATTATTTGCATATATACCTTAATAAATCCTTAGCTGTGAAGAACTGCAACATCCTGTTTTATTCAACAATCTTTCAATGTGATAATCATCTTCTGATTTGAAATCGTGAACATTTTGGTAGGGTTGAGAGATGGATGTGTCCAAGACTGATAACACACCCAAGATTATCAGTGTGCAGTGTTTTGATTGACATTTCTTCAGTTAGTGGCACCACATGTTTCCATTCAAATATGTATGGAAGGGTCGCAGTTGCACATGTGAACAGCTATCATTTAAATGCAACTGTTGTTTGAAGGGGAATTCGAAATTGGAGAAATTAGACATCGATATATCTGTGTGTTATACTGTGATAAAGTTATATATAATTAGTTTTGGTCAAAAAACTGTGTGATGAAGTAAGTAGAGACACATGCATGATTTTCAAATGTCAATGGATGTTCAACTTAAAGAGAATTTACTGGTCAATGCACTGAATTTTCATAAATTAATCTTGGATGAACTATACTAAAAAAGCTAAGGGTAAGATTCTTTTCCTGAAAGATTTTTTCATTTAATAAATATCATAAAATTTCAATTGTTAAAGAAAATTGTTTAATTTAGTGTAAGAAAGCATTGCTGTATACAACAGTTTTATATCATAAAAGTAAATGCAGGGGATCAGGGGAATTAATGGTATAACTTTTTGATCAATTCCTTGTTGTAGATTTATGTCTTTTGCACGATTCAAACAGTTGCCCTTTTTTCTCATTTAAAATAAAAATAAACATTTACTCTTTATTCAGCATGAGATATTCCTATATGATATCCAGAGATTAGTGACCTCAAAATAAAATGTGATCATGTATACTCCTAAAGGATTGGTACCAACGAGTTAAATGTCTGTAATAATAAGAGGCTTTTCACAAAATTGAGTGAAAAATGATTTCCTAAAATATTAATTGTCAAGAATGACACGTATTTGATCTTGTAATCGAGTTATGACCCCCAAATTAAAAGTTGTCATATATTTCTTAGGAGGACTACAGATCTTGTGCTTTCACCTTGTAACCCAAAATCAGTAGGGGTCTTTATTCCTTTGGGAGTACCAGTATACTAAGTTTGTTGTCTGTAAAGCAAAGGGTTCCCAAAATTTTAAGCAGACATTATTTTTCTGTGTCAGAATAGTCTCAACCTTGAAATTTGACTTTATGAAATCAACAGGATTATCTACTCTTTTACGTTAGGGAGTACCTGGGTGTTCAGCTTTCTTCAAATCCAATTATACTCTGATTCATATATAAAGTTATATAATAACATTTGAAATCAGAAGAGGAGTATTCGACATGAATCCATTGTCAACAGTTGGAAGAGAAATGTTTGTCCAGTCCAGTGTCAAATTTTGAAATGGGGAGAGGAACGTTCATAGTATTAAGAGTCATGGTAGTAGTGTTTTGATAGGAATTGGTAGAGGAATGTTCCTCAAATGTACTGTTTATATACATGTAGTATGTATTATCAATTGAAATTGACTGATGAACGTTTGTGATATTGTGTGTTAAAACTTGTAAATACAGTGTCACGTTGAAAGAGGAACGTTCCTCCAGTGTATATAGTATCAATTTTTGAAATTGGATGAGGAGCGTTCCTCAAATATGTTGTGTTTAGACTAGTAAATCCAGTGTCAATAGTTTGAAGAGGAACGTTCCTCCAGTGTACATGGTGTATATAGTATCAATATTTGAAATTGGAAGAGGACCGTTCCTCTAATGCCTAATATTTGAAAATTTATGAGATGATACGGTAATCAGTAAATTTGAGAGATGAATGTTCCTAAAATGCCTGATGTGTTCATTCATAAAGTATTTAAAAATACACACTGTATGTGCACATCTGTAAGAGAGGAACGTTACTCAAATGGTCTGGTGATAATAAATGCATCTTAGTTTAAAGAGGGGAATGTTCCTCAAATGTCTGTTCATAACAAATGCATCAGAAGTCATAGAGAGGAACGTTCCTCAAATCTCTGGTCAGAACAAATGCATCTGAAGTTAGAGAGAGAGAAACGTTCCTCAAAAGTTTGGTCATAACAAATGCACCAGAAGTTCAGAGAGAGGAACGTTCCTCAAATCTCTGGTCATAACAAATGCATCTGAAAAGTAGAAAGAGGAACGCTCCTCAAAAGTCTGGTCATAACAAATGCATCTGAAGTTCAGAGAGAGGAACGTTCCTCAAATCTCTGGTCATAACAAATGCACCTGAAGTGTAGAAAGAGGAACGTTCCTCAAAAGTCTGGTCATAACAAATGCATCTGAAGTGTAGAGAGAGGAACGTTCTCTCAAAAGTTTGGTCATAACAAATGCACCAGAAGTTCAGAGAGAGGAACGTTCCTCAAATCTCTGGTCATAACAAATGCATCTGAAGTGTTAAGAAAGAGGAACGTTCCTCAAAAGTCTGGTCATAACAAATGCATCTGAAGTTCAGAGAGAGGAACGTTCCCTAAATCTCTTGTCATAGCAAATGCATCTGAAGTGTAGAAAGAGGAACGTTCCTCAAAAGTCTGGTCATAACAAATGCATCTGAAGTTTAGAAAGAGGAACGTTCCTCAAATCTCTGGTCATAACAAATACTTTTAAAAAAATCTTCAAAAGGGAACTTGTGGAGACACATATAAGGATTTTAAGACCAAAATGACTTCAGATTGTAAACGTTGGGTGAAAAAAAGGAATTTTGATTTTCCCTTCTTGTTTTGGATTGTGTTTTTTGGCAAAAGAAGACTATTTTATCAGCCTCTTTAAACCCAAACTTAATCGCAAGTGATGCTATATATTTTATACTTTGAAATTTCATTTGTATAATGTATGAAAGTTAGTGCAAGATTTGTACATTAACAATTACGCCAACTTATCGCTACCTAATCTATTATGACGTCACAATGAACTTTATGCTTTTGATGTTACCAGGTAACCTACCTGACATTTTTATAACTGCCTGAAGAGCCGAACATGGCGAAAGCGCTTGCAAAAAATATTTTGTGATTTTTTTGAATTTTTAATTCTCTCTCTATATATATATATATAGTGAGTATCCTTGTAAAAGTGAATTTCTCTATATTAATATTCCTTCACTTAGGGCAGTTATATTAGTTTAAGAGTTGTTGTAATTTGTGCTTTATAAATAAAATTAATTTAATCACAACATGTATTGGTAACGATCCTCTAAAAACTAATGTCCAAATAACTGTATCTCACTTCCATTCTCAATGACTGTGTAGTGTAGGGCAGCGTTGTGAGAATTCCATCGGCATCGAAAGCAAGTTTTTCACTTGCCTAGATAGCCGAGCGGTCTAACGCGCTGTTCCTGCACTGTTAGGAGACAGATTCCGTAGGTCAAGAGTTCAACCCCGGGCTGGGGCGGAAGTGAGTATCCTTGTAAAAGTGAATTTCTCTGTGCTTTATATATATATATATATATATATATATATATATATATATATATATATATATATATATATATATATATATATATATATAATGGCTTTTATATAATGGCTTTGAGGATGACATAACGGAATATTTGCCATAATGTAACAGGAAAGCCCAAGGACAAAGAATTTTTCTAATTGATAAAATGTTATCAAAATATTCGGGTCATAAGTTGAAGCCCAATGGAAAAGTTCTCTTTTTCTCATTTACCGGTCAAGAAAGTATATCGGTCGGGCCTTCGCTGCGAGAGCAGAAAACGTTGGTACGATTTATGTTTACTGCACCATGTCAAACCTAAGACGTAAAAGTAGGAAGATACTGAAGTAAAAATCCGGGTCATTGGGATGAAATCTTAAACATTCAAAATCCTGGGTCACCATAGCGTTGACATAAAACAAAATACACCTCACTGTTTAATGACCCCTTAAAAGTACGAGGGTTGTCCAAAAAGTTTGTGGAAAATGACGTTTTCGTGAAATTAAATGGTTCTATATGAAACTGTTTTATATCAAAATGTTTCTTATGAAAAATAACAAGTCAGAGTGATTTAATTCTTATTGATGGAAGTAATATTTTTGTAAAAATCAGTGTCTTTAAAGATTACAGATAGTCCGTGCGGGCAAAGGTTAAAATGACATAAACACTCATATAAAATATTTGGATTAGAATGATCATTTTCTATACAAAATTCAAAAGTTAATAAAAAATTATGATTTTATAACAAATAGACAAGCTAAAATCATTTTATAATATCTTAAGTATATCGCTTACTATATAGACACTGCAAATACTTAACAATAACCCTAACAAATGTGTCAAAACTCGACAGAAAAAGCGACATCGACCTTCTGAACGGGACAGCTTCCGATCAAAAAAAATATTTTAATACGATTGAAACGTAAGAAACGTATGGATTTGAGATTGGTATACGATTTATCAACGCTGTGTACAAATTCAAAAACATTGCAAGAATTGAACAACACTTGTAATTTTCTGAAAATGGATATTTCTATTCATGACGTTGTTTTAAGATCTAGCGCAGCGTTCGACTTGGCTGTGCCGTTTGTGTATACAAACTATTTATATAGATGACGCTCGTATTGAAATCTTCACAAGACGAAAGACTACCTTTAAGCAATCGCTTAATGGTAGCTTAATGGTGACTTAATGGTGGCATAAAGGAGTTAATTGCTTTAAGCCAACATTAAGTAAACATTAAGCTAGACTTACAGGTGCTTAATGTCCAAACTTCATTAAGCTCAACCATTAAGCCACCATTAAGCTGAGCTTAATGGTGACTTAATGGTCAACCCTCATTAAACTTTTACGCATCTTATATAGAATCTTTAAACTAGCTTTTAGTTATTTTAATATCATTTACGCAAAATCCATTCCATCTCATAATTCTGTCTCGATCATGATTTCTACGAGTTTATTGTCAACATGCATAAACTTGATCACTGGGAATGAAGTTAGCTAATAGCCACAGGGGCTTGCTCGAGGTGTCTAATTTTTTTTTTAAATCATTTACAGTGATAATAAAACAAGACATCATGTATCAGAACTGTATATTATTTTTATTTTTTAAATTAACCATTATTACATGCGTTATTTTTATTTTTAGTGTATATGATTTTTAAAAATAAATAATAATTACACACCGTGGGCAAGTCCTAGTGAAATATCTTAAATGTATAATACCAAAAATCAGTTTGTTTTTAGAATTATCTATATTCCGAACACAGAATATATATTACTTTATTAAAATGGTCATTTTATAATATATGTCAAAAGAAACATTCCGCTACAGAATTCACAGGAATATAACTATATGATCTCATGAAAAAAACCTTTGTCCTTTTTTGGGGGGGGGGGGGGGGCTACTGGTATACAAATGTTTAATTTTTTTAAAAATTGACTTTTACCATGAAAAACGTTTTAATGGCTTTTACATCATGAATACTTTTAATCAATTCATTATTTTTTTTAATAATGCAGCAGTAAGTATCTGTTAAAATCTAGTCGGTCTTCAATGATTGTTATTTCAAAATCGATTTTCAGAGAAACGGCCGATCAGATTAAACATGACATCCGACCAGATGTATACACATTAAGAAACGGGGTAGGATTAACAGATAATCCGTGTACAGTAAACTGGCAATAGACCTTAATTAGGTGTCCCCTGTCCCCGGTTAACTAACAGGAAACTATACATACACAACGTACACTGACAGATTTTAATGATCAATTATTTAAAAAAAGAAAAATTAAATTTAACGCAAGCATATAACAAATCAAAAATTATGATTCATCGTAAAAATTCAATTATTTTGATACCCATTATGATACAAAAAGAATTGAAATTGAATTTGATATTCTAAAAAAAGTTTTTGTAAACGTAATTAACCAGGTAACTCTTGTAAACGCGAGGATTGTAACTAAATTGTTGACACAGAAACCATTAATATCTGCAGTATATATTAAAAATAATAGTAGAATCTGTTTTTTTCCTCTTTCTTTTTCGATGATAGACTTTTGTGTTTTATCTATAATTGATTTATCTTCAATCATGATTTAATGCTTACGTTTTAGGTCTATGCATTTCAAAAATTTTCAAATAACGTTAACACTAACAGAGCGAAGAACTCAATCACACTACATCATCCGAACTCTGTGTAGAAATATATATATTAATGTGTTAAGATCCAAAAATAAAATTGTTTATATTTTGATTAATAAATCAATTCAAGATGTTTGGAAATGTTCAACAAAATTCTAGTAAAAACCTTAACAAGTCCAAACAAATTTTGAAAAAAATAAAGGTTTAATATTTAATATTTTCCTCATTTAATGAGGAGCGGCGATAGCGTAATGGATAAGGCGTTTGCCTACGAAACTTAAGGTCATGGGTTCGCGCACCCGTTGCGGCGTTTTTTTCATGTTTTTTTTTTTTATTTTGAATTTCGTTCTTTTTCATTATTTTTAACCGAGATAAAACGAACTCTACATTTATAATAATGATAACAAATCACTATAAAAATAATTTTTCACCCATATAAACAATATAATCGACTGCGTAATGTGACTTAATGGTGCCTTAATGGTGGCTTAATGGTAGCTTAATGGTAGCTTAATGGAGTTTGGACATTAAGCACCTGTAAGTCTACCTTAATGGTGGCTTAATGGTGACTTAATGGTGGTCTAAAGTAACCATTAAGAACCTGTAAGCCACCATTAAGTAACCATTAAGCCACCATTAAGATACCATTAAGTTAGAAATTCGGCTTAATGGTGGCTTAATGGTTACTCAATGGAAGCTTACTGGTGGCTTATAGGTGCTTAATGGTGGTTTAAAGGCAGCCTTTAAGCCACCATTAAGCACCTATAAGCTACCATTAAGTCAAGCTTAATGGGAGCATTTCATCTTGTGCTTTGTGCATTGTTTTTAATTTTAAAAATTAAATAAATTATTATCTATGCTTAAAGATTATTGCTAGCACTTGGAAGTGTACTGTGCTTTAAAAAATATAGTGTACAATCTGCGAGCTTTAAAGACACGATTTTTACAAAAATATTAAGATTCATCAATAAAAATTAAATCATTCAGAATTGGTTTTTCATAAATAATATTTTGATATACATTAAATGCATATAGAACAATTTTTTTCACAACAACGTCATTGTCCACGAACTTTTTGGACACTCTCATAAATGTATAAAATGTGAGCAAATATTTCTCAAATTGGTGGTAAAACAAACACCAGTACTTAGTCAACCCCCCCCCTGATAAAAGTCAGTTACCTGCAAGTTTTGTCAAATTGTACAAAGGTTTATATTTGTAATGATGCTGATACATTGTTTGCGTATCATTAAAAAGTTGATTTCGTGTATGTATAAGCGAGAAATAATTTCAATTTCAAACAATTTTGCGGATGATTTCTGAAAGGCACCATGCGATATGGATTTTACAACACTAGGTCCTCCGATAAACATACAAAGTCAATTGAAAGTCAAAACCGATATGTCTTCTTCTTGCAAGGAAAGAACAGATAAGAATGCACTCACAAACAACAATAAACTTGTTTGTGTCTTTTGGTTACAAATTTATTCAACGTTAATAGGGGAAGCCTAACTTTGAAAACTGTACTAATGATACTAATTTGTCATATGTTCAATAACAAACAATCTCTTCTGTTTACAGCTATCAATGAGACCATTTTTTTACAATGGAAAAAAAATGATCAATTCTTTCATGAATCTCATAACTTCCCTGCAATGCTGGATAAAGTGAGGAATAAGCCCCATGTTACATTTGTTGGTGTCCCAGGGTCTGGGAAAACAGCGACAGCTCGTCACATCGCCCTGATGTTACAACAGGAAGGATATGAGATTGTACCCATCAAAGACATCAGAAAGATAGAGGACTACTGTGACCCCACCAATCCACAGGTTTTTGTTATTGATGATGTGCTAGGGGTATTTGGGCTCCAAGAGGCAAAATTGAACCTTTTGTTTGACTACCAACATATAATAAAAAAAGCCTTTATTCTCCGAGTCAAAAACACTAATGACATGTAGAGAAACAGTGTATAGAACGGCTATTCAATCGGAATCATTATTTTCTGAGGAAACAATATTGTTCTTTTACATAGCGAATCAAATGCTTTAGATTACAGCGATAAAGTAAGTATTTTAAAAATATACAACATAGATGCAAATCTGTTGTCTAATGCAACTTTTGCATCTTTATCAAAATGTTTCCCGTATCTTTGCAAACTGTTTACAAAAGAAAGCAAAATAAAACAGTATGGCTCTTCATTTTTTGAAAATCCAGTTCCATGTATTTTAAGGAACTTGATGAAATGAAAAAGGAAAACAGAATTCATTATGTTACTTTGGTATTATGCATTATGAATAAGAACAAAATGTCAGAGAAAATCCTCGAAGAAGCAGAAACGACAGTGATTACAAAAAACTTCATTGAAATCAAACGTCATGTTCTTCGCAAATGTAAAGTCAACAGCTATACTAATAATTTTGAATTTGTCGATGCATTGTCAGAAATGGAGGGAACATACACAACACGCAATGGTACTGAATATACATTAATTCATGATTCAATGCTTGAAATTATTGCATATCACTTCGGTTGCCAGTTTCCAGATCTTATTTTGCAATTTATGAGCAGTAGTTATATTGCTAACAACGTAAAGGTACAGGAAAATAAACCAATCAATGGAAATAATGAATTGAGTGGAGAAGGACATAATAGATTATATAGTGAAAGTAAAAGTGAGCCATATGATCTCTGTATAAAGTTAAGAGAGGAAATGTATCTGATGTTAGCAGAGCGGTTGTACAGGGATATAGAAAATATGGAACTGTATGATGTGTTTATGAACAATGTTTTAAAGGAACCTAGGGTGTATCAGGCTTTTGAGGAAGTATTGGAGACAAAGTCTGATACAGAGTTGGAGTCGTTATTTCTCTCAGAGCGGACAGACATATCGAAGGTAATGAATAAATGTGAGAGGGATTCAAAGGAATTGAATTCGGATCGGGGAAGACAGAATGCGCTCTTGAATAAGGAAAGCGAATCTAAAACTAAGCACCTTATTAGAGTTATCAGTTGGGTAATTTATTATGGACATAATCGAATCCTACAATATATTTTAAAACGAATGGAAGACGAAAGAAGAGCACCTGTATTATTTAAGAACATAACAATGAATGAAATAAATGAAAAATACCGGTTACTTTTATTGAGTTGTTACAGTGGTGATTTAAAAATTGTTAAAATATGCATGAAATATTTAGATAATGATACACTTAACACGGTTCTACGACGTACATTAAGCTGGTATAAATGTCCACTTACAGCAGCATGTGAGGGTGGAAATATAAGTATAGTGAAAGAATTGTTAGTGGCTGGGGCTAGTGCAAACCTTCCTAGTGAATCAACTACGCCGCTTATAGCAGCATGTAGGTATGGCCATATGGATGTAGCTAAAGAGTTGATAAAGGCTGGGGCTGAAGTTAATTTTAAAGTTCATAATGAAACACCACTGATGGCAGCTCTTATAAAAGGACATGCAAGTGTTGTGCAGGAGCTGATAAAGTTAAAAGCAGATATTAATCTACCAGGTGGATATGATTTCAAAGGCTCATCTGATACACCGCTTTCTTTGGCATGTAGGACAGGGAATGAAAGTATAGTAAAGGATCTGTTAAAAGCAGGTGCTGATGTCAATGTAAAAGGCTCATCTGATACACCGCTTTCTTTGGCATGTAGGACAGGGAATGAGAGTATAGTAAAGGATCTGTTAAAAGCAGGTGCTGATGTCAATATAAAAGGCTCATCTGATACACCGCTTTCTTTGGCATGTAGTAATGGGAATATTTGTATAGTAAAGGATTTAATAAAGGCGGGGCCAATGTAAATCTTGGGTTAATATTTTCATCACGTGAGAAAAGGCGACTTACTGATTTGGAGTTTAGAGATATTTGGATTGGTGTAAACCATCGAAATAATTTTAAAACGCCATTTATATCTGCATGTGCACATGGACAAATAAGTATAGTACAGCTGCTGTTAGAGGTAGGGGCTGATGTCAATCTTAAAGATGGATATGATACACCTCTGACAATGGCATGCAAGAGTGGACATACAAGTATAGTAAAGAAGTTGCTAGAGGCAGGAGCTGATGCTAATATACAAGATTCAGAAGGACGAACACCTATATATTTGATACTTTTAAATAATACTGAGACTAGCATACCTATTGAACTGATGGTCAAACGTTATAGTGAGACCCAACAATCTGTGATAAAGAAGGGTTTTCAGCATTTTGTATTGCATTAATCAACAACAAAGTTGAATTTGTAAATCAGTTATTTCTCACTGAAAATAACACCCAGTTATATAGACTGAAGATTCATTTGTTCGACTGTTTAGTCAATATACGGCAAGGGGACGTAATTTTTCGATAAAAGGACACGTAGTTGTTAAAAGAAGAGGAGTGTTTCATATGAAAAAATCAGGATTAATGTATAAATCAATCTTTGAATGTAAATGTGATGTACTGAAACGTTTGCTAAATCTTGGTCTGGACGTCAATCAAGCGGTACAGGTGTTTAATGGTGGTTCCGATTATGATGTGAAACCTCATTTGTTTTCACTTATTGATGAGGGTGTGGAATCGTTTAGGGATAATTTAGTGGAAAAGGTCAAAATCCTTTTGGAGGCGAAGGCGGATGTCAATGTAAGGGTGAAGTACAAAGAGTACCTTCGGGATCAAGAAGATATAGTTTCAGTGATATTTTGATTAACCTGTTAGTACACTTGCTGGTGCCAAGAATTATGATATGGGGTCTACATTAGAAAAAATTCTGTGTTAGACGAAGAAGGTTTGTCTGTTTTAGAGAGGATACAGAAATTAATTGGTAAATTCAGAAGAAAAATCTATTACCCTGAAAAAGATAAAATACCTTTGTGCGAAGAAGTGCTGGGCGAAATAAAAAAGCACGTGAGGCGATACTCTGTGTGATAAAATATGATTGGACATGTTACATTACAAATTTTTACAATGCGCTATGTATAAAAAATTTCAGTTTGAATGTGTATATTTCTTACATTACGGGGGATGCTGTAAAATGTAAATTTTCTTGGCAAGTAATCCAGTACATAGTAATTTATAAATTTCGTGTGAGATTTAATTTCGTTGATACGAAATAAACGAAATTTAATCCTTTCTGCTTCTACAGTAATTTACATTGTTTTACCTTTAAAATAATTTTACTATAAAAAAAATAAAATGCCATGAAAGGCATAACAAAACAATCATAAACTGAGCTCTAGGACAAAATGCGTTTAGTCGGACCCTCGAACCAAACTGTCTGTCTTCGGTCTAATGCCCTTTGCGTACAGTTTGGTAAACGCTTCCTGCCCTCGAACTGAGTCAAACAATGTTAACTGTTCATTTTAACGAGCATTAGGATTTTTTTATAACAAAAAATAAGGATTTGATTATCATAACACCTGTTATCTTATTTACTGGACATCAATTCATTGCGCAGAATAGTTAAGGTTACCAGTTAAGGTCGACAATTTTTTAGATAAAAAATACATACTTGATTAGGATTGGGGATTTTTTTAGGACTTTACTGATATCAAAAAATGTAATGTGGTTCAAATCTGCATGTTCATGATATTAAGATTTTTTATTGAAACTTGTCACGTGATGTCAAAGTCACATGATTTTAGCAATTATATTGGCAGTCTAGAGGTAATCTATAAATTGCAATATGCAAGGGCATAACCAAGTTAATTTGTTTTGATTTTGTAATCCTTTTTAACGCTATTTTACCCACAGTAATTGTTGTTTAAAATTATTAAGAAATTTAAAAGATACCATTTTTTTTATCAATATTTCATAATTATCTGTCCTGGGAAGTGAGCAAGGCACTTCATTTGAAACAAACGTGAAATACCTACACTTAAGTTATAACCTATGTCGGAAAAGTCTTTCTCACAAGATTTTCAAATTTTTTCAAAATGATAAATTAGTACCTGCTTTTTAATCAATAAAAAGCTCATAATATGTTTCCCTTTTTTTAAATGTAGTAGGGCCTGTAAAACTTCGAATGGTAATTACATGCTGCATCTACACTTTTTCAGTTATTTTTTTCCTTGTACACTGCTTTGGTTACTTTCAGATTAAAAATGTTTATCAAAAATTTTACTTTTTATTTAATAAGGTAATATTTAACAGAACAATTGTAATCAAATACCAAGAATATGAAGAAGTAATAAATAATCATGAAAAGGGATGTACATCATTTCATGATATATATATCACAATTGACAAAAACGTTCACACGATGACACGATCTACAACACGCACATCTTTGACTTAGACATTTTTTCATCAAGATATAACACTGTTTGGTTGGCAACAGACAATTTTCTAAAATTTTTGCATTCCTTCAAAATAGTTACATTAACAAATCATTCACATTATTACAGTAAGATGTTTATATCGAAATTTCGTTACACAAGATGGTCTTGGATTTGTCAACTTAGTTTAGGTCAAGATATAGCAAATGAAAGGTGCCTACAAGTTTCTCTTATTATAAATAACTATATTGTCATTTTAAAAGCATGAAAAGAAGGATATGGAGATAACGAACAGTATTCAATCTCAAAGTCCATAAAACAATACAAAAAAAGAGCAGAGCAACACGGACCTTGAAACATCAGAGGTGGGATCAGGTGCCATGGGAGGAGCTAGAGCATCCCCGTCGACCGGTGACACCCGCCGTGTGCTCCTTGTCATGATCAGGAAATAACGGAAAAAATCCCTCATTAATTCGATTCAATGTACAAATGGACTAACAACCGGTATGAAATACGTCAATGAGCATTTGACTCAACGATAAATTATATTTGCTTACAAGGTCATTGTATCGACCATAGAACTTACAAAATGATGACTTTAAAAGAGACTGTTAATATTCTTGTTTCATCAAGAAGAAGGATATGGAAATAACGAACAGTATTCAATCTCAACGTCCATTTAACAAATATACAAATTAAGAGCAGAGCAAACACGGACCTCCGAAACATCAGAGGTGGGATCAGGTGCCATTGAGGAGTGAGCATCCCCTGCCGACCGGTCACACCCGCCGTGTGCTCGTTGTCATAATCAGGAAATAACGGAAAATATCCGTGGTCAATTCAGTGTATAAATAATGGACTAACAATTGGTATGAAAAACGTTAGTCAGCATTTCATTCAATGATAAATTGTTTTTGCTGACAAGGTCATTGTATCGACCATAGAATTTACGAAATGATGACTTTAAACAAGACTGTTGATATTCTTGTTTCATCAACTTGCTTGTCAATAATTTACCTCGTTTAAGAAATTGTTCATACGTAGAGCATGCTCTTGCATATCGAATCAACTGAGATATAAATACTCCGTATGCAGGTGATGAAGGTATATTGCTGCATAAGTAAGGGAAGTTGACGATAGAAAAGTTAAAGTCATCACGTTTTTCATATAGCTTGGTTGTTAGATTACCAAGAGTGTCTTTTTCAAGTAAAATATCCAAGTATGAAGCAGAAGTGTCGGACTCTGTGGTATCTTTTTTATCTCAAGCTCACTTGGATATATCGTGTCGACGTAGGAATGGAAATTATCATTATCACCTTTGATGTTTCAGAGGTCCGTGTTTGCTCTGCTCTTATTTTGTATATTTGTTTAATGGACGTTGAGATTGAATACTGTTCGTTATTTCCATATCCTTTCATTAATTGACAATACGTCGTCGATATATCTAAATGTCGAGTTGAAGGCCACAGCAAGTGTTTTTTTTTCTTTTCAAGCAAAAGATTTTGCATAAATTCTGCTTCATATGAATATAAAAATAAGTCTGCTAATAACGGAGCGCAATTTGTACCCATGGGGATTCCAATAGATTGTTGGAATACCTGGTCTCCAAAAACCACATAGATATTGTCAATCAGAAACTCAAGCATCTTCTTGATGTCAACTTCAGAGTACTTATGTGTGCAATCAGAATCTGTTTTAACAAAATAATTTTTCAAATGACCAATGACGAGGTAATTAAACTTACGAGTTCCATTTTTGTTGAAGAAGCAGCTGTCAATGATATCAAAAAGCCTGGATTTTAATTTGTCGTGCGGAATTGTTGTGTATAAAGTTGAAAAGTCGTAAGTTTTTATGCTGTTGATTTTTGTAAAGTCTTGTGATTTCAAATTGTCTAAAAGTTCTTTAATTTTTAAGTATCCACATCTGATTTACACCACTTCTTGAATATATAGTTGTACAGTACTCTTGAAGTTTTCCCTTCACTACTGTCAATATTTTAGTGAGAACTAATGAAAGAGGCTTGGTTAAATATTTACTGGAATCTGCAATGTATCTTTGTTTGTAAGGATTCTTATGAAGTTTTGGAATCCAATATATATAAGGTAGTTCAAATTCATTTTGGCTCTGTGGAATATTAAAAGTATTCAAAACTGACAGGTGATTTTGAAGAATTTCTTCCTTAGAAAGCGTAGTATATGTATAAGTAGGATTACCACTTGTAGAATTAAATCCAAGTTCTTCGTAGTCTTTAACTTGAAATATAGTGGAATACAATATTGGATCATTTTATGATTAAGAATATTACTAATGTTAACCGCGTCAATTCTTTTATTGGCATATTGAAGTTTAAGGAAAAGACGGATTGTTTTAACTGCATTTTCTTCAGTTAAACGTGCGTGTTTAAAAAGCCTATGATTTGCAATATCCATAATCACAGACCCGAGCCTATTTTCTGGTGTCGAGGAATCAAACAATGGGCTTTCCTTGACCTTTTCAAGAAGACTAGTTTGGTGCCAATATGATGTAGACCTAACTGTTGATATACACAAGGTAGTAAATGAATCAAAGGAAACATCGGTATTAAAGGTTTATTGTAAGACTGATGACCATGACTATGCTTGCGTCTCTGTGTATGGTTAAAAAGTCCCATCGCATTTACATTGTTACACTGTGGACTGGAAAGATAGTTTGTTTTAGCACGCTCTTCTAGGATCAAATTCCGCATACTGTGTAATTTTTCTCCTGTTTTATAAATAGTACAAACACAAAGAACAAAAATTCAAAGAAAAATAAAATAAGATTTTTTCCCTCTGAAAAAGTATGGACACGATTTTCATTCTTCTATGAAATGGTCACGCATTGTAATTTATCAATTAAGACATTTAAATGCTTTATTTTTTGCTTACGTAAATTAATTATTTATCAAGTTTTTAAAAAGTAATACTTTCGTTTGGTGGTGAGTTACATGTAGTATTTAGTTTAGTGTATATCTCAGTGAACTGGAATAAAAGACCGAAAAGCTTAAAAATGCGAAAACATAAAAAAAAACATGGTACCTGTAATCACAATCTTGAAAATGTATAAGTTTTTGAAAACAGATGATATTTTTTTGCCCTTCTGGTTTCTTACTACAGGTTTGATGAATAAGATTAAGGTAACTAACAGTGATTAATCGAGAAAGAATATATGAGAGTGAACTATTCTATGAAATTCATTTGTGGTTACTAGTACGTAAATAAAAATTGTTGAGACGTATAATATATACCAACTTCACTATGAAAGCTGATATATATTATACGTGAAATTACTGAAAATATATCAGGAACAGTTTTGGAGACCAGATCTTCTGGCAATCTGTTGAAAAACTATGCCCACTTATTAGCCTGATATTATATTCTTATGAAATATAATTTACTCAAAATCTTCTAGATGAGAAAATTTCTCAATTATATACTCGACGTCTTATCGGGTTTTACCCCCAAGCCCGTCTCATCTCTTTACAAAAATGGTAAAGAGCTTAACAAATCAATTTTTATAAGAAACAAAAAGAAAATTGATTTTGCTCACTTTATTTCGTTATTCCTATACAGCATACTTTTTAAGTTTTATTTTGCATTGATTTTTTTCCGAAAACGTAACGTTATGTAATGTCATGGGCTGTGTCATTGGACTATGCTTCATGAGTATTTTTTAAAAATTTAATATGAATTTCTTTTCAAAAATCAAATATTCTACATCTAATTGTCAACATCAAAAGCCCATCATAAAAAATAAGAACAATATTAAAAAAAAATAGCCTAACATTACTTTTGAGAATTCAGCGCCGCTGACGTGCCATTTCGTGGAATTATAAACATGAAAGACTGTCGAAAACAATACCTAAACAGTTATACCAATATTTATTTCACTTAAAACAGAAATAACTAAGAAAATAAGAATCACAAACGTATTTACAAATGAAATTTACTATTATATACATAAATAAAACGTGTTGTCAAAGTTTGAAAAGTAAAAAACATGTACAGTGATAGGAAAAATGTATAAAATACATATCTTATTATGCACAGAAAAATGATATCATCGCGAAATACAAGACCGTAACGTTATTTATGGAGGTAGTTCTATTTATATTACCATTACGTTTTTTTTATTGATTAAAAATTTATTCATGGCTTACACTGGTATACTATGGTTATAATAAAGAAAATTAAAACTGAGTAAATGGTGCTAAAAAGGGATTCTTGTCTGATTGTGACTAGATAAACTGAATGTGAAATCAAGCAGGGACTACTAGTATATTTTTGGTGGAGTAATGGTGAATGAAATCATATCTTTTTCTGCTTTCAAAATTAAAACTAAACAATGAATTTAGTTGCAAATTTTAAACAATCAAAGACTTAAAGAAATTGTCCTAATGTAAATCAAATTGTTAGTTATGGATTAAAGTTTTAAAATATATGACATAAATATGTTTTTCAAAAAAAAAAAAAAAAAAAAAAAAAAATAAAATTGTTAGCTTTTGAAAGCATCGATTTTCAAAACAGATATGAGCAAAAAATAAGTAAAAACTGTTTCTCCTCTCTACATAAACGGTTAGAACTCTTTTCATATCATTTGTATCTCTATATGACTACTTTAACATACGTAAAATAAATAAAAAAAAAATTAGATACACAAAGGGTATTTTAAAAACTAATAATATTAAGAAATTTGAAAAATAGAGGAAACTTTGAGTATTCAATATCTGTTTTTGTTAATTTGATTATGTTAATTTGGTATTATCGTCTGAAATACTCTTTTACACCAATTGCTGCAAACATAATGACCTAAATCTGGCCTTGCTTAAAAAATAAAACGGTTCAGTGGAACCCCCAACAAATATATTTTATATATACAGTATTAACTATATGATTAAACAAAACACCATGGGAAAGAGCTTTAATCCCTTGCAATAAAATAAATTACTAAAAGCCCTGATAGAACGTGTCTTGAAGAATAAATCTGTACGACAACGACATGTGATCAGCCAAATCAAATTTATACTCGCCATTTTTTAAAAAAAAAGTAGTTTTAGAAACAATCTTGTACTGGGCGTATTAAAAACTGTCCACTTACAGAACCCTATATATTCCATGTTTAGAGCTGAAATGATAAGTGGTTTAAGTACCACTTAGAAAAGATTGTTATCTTTAAAACAGTGATAACAATAATCACTTGATGGAGAACATTATCAGACAGATATAAGTATTAATTAGACAATATTTATTTTACGCATTAATTTGGGAATAAGATGTGCTTGTAAAATTTAACAGTTATAACGAACTCCGATATAACGAATTTACGGATATAGCGAACTGATTTTTAGTCCCGTAGAAGTAAAATATTGGTATAATGAAATTTACATCTTTTATAACGAATTTTCAAATATCTTACAGTTGGATAAATTGAACTGACTTTATTTTCATGAAGTATTTGTATAATAAAATTCAATTCATAATAAAACATTAGTTACCCAAGGCATGTTTTGTAATATTTTTTTCTTTTCCAAGATATTCGTTAGTAATACTTGAAGGAAAACATGCATATTGCGAATTCTCTATAGATAGAGTTATACGAATTCGTTACACGGATATAAAGAATTACGGATATATAGAGAATTAAATTCACAGTTCCTTAGGATTTCGCTATAACTGAGTTTTACGGTACAAGGGAACGAAATGCTATTATCATATTTGAATACAGACAAAATAAGAGTTGTCATTCTTAGTAGGTGGTGTTAACAGCTGTAATCACCATATAGTATACTTCTCGCAGGATTGATCTGAACAACGCCAAAGTACGAGGCTTCTGTGTTCGTATAGATGAATGTTGGGTCTCCAATTGGCCTTATCATAATATAGTCATCACATTCAAGTTTAAACATCCCCATATGATTCATTGTGTCAAATGGATGCTCTCCAGCTCTTCTATCGTAATATGCCTGACCTCTGTATTACAAAACAATTAAAGCAAAGTGGATTAATGATATAATAATCCTATTTTTTGAAGAAAAAAAAGATTGTTTATGTTTTGGAATAGGGCATTGACCTCGGTACATTATGCACTTTTTATCTGAAATCTGTGTCAGACAAAAGGTCACAGGTTTATTTACTTATTACATAATGTTTGTAAATATACATTGTTAGGGATTACAAACCTATTATCCTGCGTTATGTAACTTTTTATCAAGGTCTTTTCAGTTCCATTATGAACCAGCACTGTTTCAAATCCTACAGATGGCTCGTACCTGTCCATTACAATATGAAAACAATATTTAATAAACGCAAAAATATGTAAACAGATTTTGAAGCAGGCTTATTCAGAGAACTTAGTTACATTTATTGAAAATTTCTAGTTCGAAGATGAAATCTTCCTGAGTTTTCTGGTGCAATCTTAGGAAATTTCTGGCTTTGTTAATATAAAGAAAAATAATCCCGTACGTTAAATCAGTAAATGCATTAAAATCAAGGGAAAAGACTAAATTTCTCTTTATATTTAATTAAGATTGAAATAGATGCAAGCAGGGAATTGCTGTAAACAAGAAGAAGTGACACTGCTTTGCAAAAAGAACACTCGCGAATCTTAAAGCAGACAGATATTTGCTAAAATATAATAAATAATTGAATCGAGTTTATATTCTTAATTAATGTTTCTTCCTTACTATCTTTAAGCTTGAACGATGAATTGAAAATTCAGATTACACTAAGCTGCGACTACACAAATATACAGTTGAAAAGCTTAATTGTCTACTCCCCCTGGTTTTCTATTAATCAATGACCACAAAAATGTCCTTAATTTTTTTTGTTTATTTGAAGTTTAATGAGTTTGAACATTCGTGTTTGTTAAATTGTTTCCAAGAAAAAAAAAATAATCCCATCAACCATGAGTAATGTTTTACACAAATTATGCATTTATCACTTGAAACTTGAATCACTACAAGTGGCCCTCTTCTGTGAAGTATGTGAAAAATTGTTCATTTGAAGCTGTAACTTTATTTTTAGATAAAGTAAACAAATAATCATATTATCTTATAGCAACTTATCTAAGTACGCAGATAGTAATGGATAGTAGCAACCTTAATTATATCTACCCTTGCTCTGGACCGTTGACTGCTACTTGAGCATATACTAAATATATTCCTGGACTGCGAACTTTAATTGCTACGGGCATATTATAGGCGTTATCTCTGATGTAGTCAAAAGTGGATGAATATATAGACTCCGGATCACTCCATCTAAAGCAGTGTTTCCTGTTGAAGCACCCATCTAAAAAAAAAATAAGCTTGTTCGTATTGATGACAAACCGAAAACTCTTGCATGTATAAGTACATGTGTATTTATCAAGTACTTAAAAGCTTCCATGTGGAAAAAATTCTCTTGACCTATCAGAGAGTTTTCATAGCAAAATTTCTAATATCTTTTTTTGAAAAATGCAATTCATCTAAAGTAAAATTGCAACTTTTTGAATAATTACGTGTCAAAAATAATTTTTTTTTTGTAAAATTAAAAATGTTTTAAATAAATATATATATATATATATATATATATATATATATATATATATATATATATATATATATATATATATATATATATATATATATATATATATATATATATATATATAGATTTGCTTTTATTTGAGGGGTCATTCACTTCTGAACGAAAAATGAGGCACATTGCTATGAGAAGAAACGTTAACATTGTCGCCTATGTTAGAATCTAATTCAGACTTCAGTCTTTCAACATTGATACTGTTTGGAGGACAAAACTGGCTATTTGAATAATATCTTAGGTGGATCATAAAATTTGCCATCTTTTAAAAAATCCTTGAAATGTTGCTCACATTTTTCCTTTAAAACTACACACACACAAGACTCAATAACTCTCTTTATATGTATCAGTGAAAAACGGCATTTTTAAAAACAGCTTGTAGAGACAAAAGAGTTGCATTTTTAATAACATATAGTGCATATTAAAATAGAAAAAAAAGGAAAAGGTGACTCGAACCCAGATTTAAAAAGAAAAAAAAATGGAAAGGGGGGGGGGGTCCATACCCCAAGTGCCAATGAGTATGATGGGTATTCTGATGTTATTTGATAAGCTTCATGTAAAAAGAGAAAGAGAATAAAAATATATTAAGACATCACATTTAACCCCTCCCCTTTACCGGTTTCCCTCCTAAAGATAATGCTTACGTAAGATAAAAAAAATCATTAAAAAATGTATCAATAATCGTCAGTAGAGTATATAGGCAAAATTTATTACTAAATTTAAACCTAGAAAAATTATCTGCCTACGGAAATCAAATACACAATATGTAAGAAATCGAATTTGTGTTTAATTTATTAAATTATACTCGTCAAAATATAACATTGAAATGAATGACTTATATAATTAAAAAATGTATTCTATTAAACAGTCATTCATAATATCGGCATTTCGTTTTTAAACAGTTTAATAAATAAATAAATAAATACGAAATGACAATTATTTACTTATTAGTTACAAATGTCAGAGTATTAAATATTCCCATCGGTTTAAGTAATACTAGTTAACTGATATTTAATTTAAACAGGTGCTAAATGTGACTTTGTGAAGATTTCCATTAAATTAATGATAAAACCGGAATAATGCCCGAGATATTCCGAGTGTAAAAATCCAAAAAGAGGCCAAAACGTGCGAGAATCGTGTACAAAGTGTGTGAGAAACGTGTTCAAAGCGTTTCGTGCAGCCTTTCGTGTAAACCGTGCAGCCTTTCGTGCAAAGCGTTTCGTGTAAACCGTGTAGCGTTTCGTGCGAACCGTGAAGCGTTTCGTGTAAACCGTGCAGCGTTTCTTGCAAACCGTGTAGCGTTCGTGTACCGTTCGTGCAGCGAGCGTGTGGGGTAGTAGCACGTCTCAGGGTCTGTATTATTAGAGGCTTTGTAACATGCTTTGTCATGGCAAACTCCACATAAACGTAACACAGTGAAGTGCATAGATGATGTTAAATAATATTTTGCCTTCAGAAGGGATTTGTGCACAAAACACACACATGAAAAATTATGAATATCTAGGTTGTACTGTACCAATTATCTGTGCATATGGTACAGGATTAAATTTCCGACTAATGTCTTCTCTACAAAAAATAAAAGAAAAAAAATAAGACATGCATACAGATGAAATAGGCCTATAATTTTTTTTTATAAGCAATATACATGGAGCATATGTTATAGTAGTTTTTTTTAATTTCAAAAATATTATTATTATGATAGCTGCACTCTTGTAATCAACATTTATAGCCAATAAATATACCTTTACTATAAATATTTATCAATAATGAAATGAACAGACGTAAAACAGAAATAAAATTAGTTTTTTCAAGAAATTCTCTCTTCTTCCTCTTTGGACATACATTTTGAAACAGACTATAAACCGCTGATTCCAAAGGGACGTATAATTAAAACAACAAAATATTGCTTCATTATATTTAACAGTAATTGCCAAAAATTGCTTCAATTATAAAACTTGGGATTTTTCACATAATTTCTTTTTCATATTCCCCCATCTATTAATCATTCATAGATCATCGTAGAAACAGGAATACCCATTCAAAAAATTATATTTTGGTCTTGTACATTTTGGGCACACGTTTTAAAATTCAATTTATTTGAAAATTAGAGAAGCAAAGAACATAAACTTTATGGAAAAATCCCACCACATACATATAAATATAAAAACAAATCCACCTAGAAAATGTCACTCTTCAGGTAATGTCCAAACAAACTATTCTCAAGATATGTCGAAGTTCTGTGTGGCGCGTATCTCTCCGCACGGACTTCGCTATATATCTAACAACTTCCGCTGATTTGGAGTTATCGTTCATAATCTCCCCCTAGCGTTTAGTCGAAATGCTAGGAATACGGGGTGAACTTTATTGTTTATTCCTGAAAGTTGTGATCTGTTAATACAATCCACAAGTTCGATTTACCTCTCGATGTACATTATTTAATTTCATTATGAAAAAAATGCAAATTGCCTGGAACTGTGAGATATACTTAGGCAGGTAAATAAATGAAACTTATACATGTAGCATACTGTCCTATTACGTATGCATGTTACATGTATCCCCTCCCCCAACTAAAATGCTATGCAATTTGATTTTTGTTAAAAATAGACACCTCCAATCCCCGATAATTTTGTAAAAAAAATACAAATTTCTGAAAAACATTTTATTTTCTTTATCTTAAACTTTACTACCCCAAATTAGGTATCCATGCTATGCCCCCTAACCAAGACGCTATGCACTTTGCATTTTGAAAAATTTGAATTAACATTATAACACCCCTCCCTTAATAATTTTCTCAAAAGGAAGTGAGTTGATCCTAACATTGCGGGTTCGAATCCCACTGTGGGTCGTGAAAACTGGTCCTTTGAATAAAACTGTGTAAACCAAGTACCCATGTCCCAACAGATGCTGACAGTCATCGGGCACAAAAAGACCCCTTACTGCTCAATGAAGGTCAGTGTCTATTATAGAAAAAAAATGTGCAGCTCTCCACCGGCATATGAGAAAAAAATCCTCAGAGACGCATTAAACAAAATACGCTTTACATGTTCTATCAATCTTCAACATGTTTAACGTCCAACTGGAGAATTTATCTCTCATGAGACACTGCAATTACCAGTAATATTCCTGTCACTAGGGGATGCTCCGCTTAGCGTTGCCCTTGTTTTAAAGATTGCCATACTGTATATTTTTCAACCTCCAGGAATCAAGATATTTTTCTTTTCTTTGATATTTCTTTAACTTCTCATTCCATCTACATAGATGTTAAAAAGAACCTGGTTCAATTGTCGCAAAATTTGGCCCCGTGTCAAAATTAATAATATTCCTCTAAGTTCTTCTAAAGAGTGTATATTTTTCTGAAATTATCAATATATACCTGTACAGAGCTTTATTCATATAGCTGTAAAAGTAGCATTGTTAACGTTGCAATATTTTGACGCTGATTCATGCCTATG